CAAGATCTTGACTCAATGATAGTTAGAATTTTTAGAGCGAACGCATTTTGGTACCTTATGGTACATGTAAATGTAGCAAGTTTAATCACATAATATGGTTTTAAGTGCTGAAGACGCTGAGTTTTCTGGACACTGAGTGGCAATTTGAGAATGTTTGGGATGCGTCTCTCACCACCCAAATGCAAACTGTTGCTCCAGGATTGGTCTTCAACGGTACCTCGGCTAACAATGGAGAACGTAATGGTTGGGTGTGTTGACCACTACACTTACCTGAGAATTAGGATCAGCCCTGATGACTCTGTGGCCGATGAAATCTCTGTACGAATACAAAAGGCTCGGCTGACTTTTGCCAACTTACGCCACCTATAGCGCCGCCGTGATATCCGACTGTCTATTAAGGGTCGCGTGTACTGCACTCGAACAGCAGTCCGGTCTGTTCTACTGTATGGCTGTGAAACATGGCCATTGAAGGTTGAAGACATGGGAAGGCTTCAGGTGTTTGACCACTGTTACTTTCGTAGTATAGGCCGTGTTCCATGGTGTCACCACACGAGTAACGCTGATGTCAGGCGTAGAATTTTAGGGAGAAGAGGCAAGTCAGTTGACACGGTTGTGAACCTTCAACGACTGAGATGTTTGGGACATGTGTCACGTATGCCTAGTCGCCGATTGCCTCGTCACATTGTTGGCCGAAGTAGGTTCAGGCTGAAAAAAGGCTCGAGGTGGCCAAACATGGCATCAATGTATGAAGTCCCTGACTGTTGGTTTGAGCCATGTGGAGGCGATGGAGACTAGGTGGTTGGGGTCGGCGGGAAAAGAGGAACCAGTGGCTGGAGACTCTAGGTGATATGGCTGAGAACCGATGTCAGTGGTGCAGATGCATACACACATTATCCTCATCTTAACATTATACCAAATCTCACCATTTTGTCATTCTTCCTTTCTCTTAGTAGTTTATATTTTTTTCTGGTTGAATTTTCTATGTTGATTTGGATGGATGGATGATGTTCGCTTGCAGTATTGCACTCTACCTACTACTAGGGACTCCGAAGTTTAACCGAACTATTTATTTCCAATTAAAAAGCCATGTAACCGAAACCAGGTCAATTCACCGGTGATTTTAAGAATTTTGAACGATTTGACATGTAAAAGTGTACGATTCACCGAATAAATCACCAACATCCACATAAGCATCGAAACAATAATGTTTCGGACTCCAACTATTCATCAGCAAGTGCATGTATTGCCATCAGTGACTTGTAAGAGGTTGATTGTGTTACTTTTACGTAACATGTGACCAGTCTTGCGTTTATCGATATCCATAAGCAGTAAATCACTCAGCACCTTACATACATGTCAGTACTGAGATATTAAAACGTAAGAAACATGTTAGACATTAAAAACGCTCAATAGAATTGTGTTTATTAGTCTTCAGTCTTAGTTATGTTTGGGAGTAATTAATTATGTGGTGGAAAATAATTCCCTGGAGTCAGTAGCCTAAGGTTCAATGAGATTCAGCAGTAGCGCTGACCTTCGTAATTTTAACGTACTTGTTAAGCTGAAGGCACATTGTCAATCATCCACGCCATGTGGAACGTTGTCGTGTTACATTGCGTTGCTCGTACACTTCTTTCCAGCCATCTAGTCGGATCGCATCTGTATTTTAGCGCTGTCTGTCAAATACGCTATTCCATCTGGCTACTCTTTTGTGTTCTTTCGCAGTCTCGCCCCTGTAGATATATATAAAAAGTGCGAGTAATTAGTCATTAATCCATGTCTTCGCCAATTCCACGTAAGATCAGTTCCTGAAATAACTTATCTGTCCATGAGTAGGCGTTAGTGGTCATACAGGGAATGAAAAATGGTCGTTGTTTAGGCACGTATGCCTACATGTTATAGGGAAACTCATGATTAAGTGAGACCTAACACCTTATCATGTTACTTAGTTACTAAGTATTGATGTACTTTAGTCCTAAAAGTGTTAGTGACAAAGTTATTTTCAATAAAAGTTGTTGAAACACCAGAAGCCTATCCTAGAAGGTAGCTCCAAATTGGACGCAACACTTTTCTATATTAGAGATGACTGAGGTTACATTTTTCCGAAACTGTCTCAACTACGCATACCTGCGGAGAAATAAAAAACATCTTGAAGTATTAACTGACCCAAATCCACTTTCATTCCCCCTAGTAACACTTAAACTATGGGGAGTTGTACAAAGGGTTTCGCACAAGAAACAGAAGAACGATCATATACAAATTTGACCCGTGATTTCAACTCGTCTGTCATGCGGAATAAACAAATGGTAACTCAAAATTACCACTTCATCTCATTTTCTTAGCATCCTCATCTAGCACGATCGAGTATCCCGGGACAAAGTAGATACTTGTAGAGTCATAATGCGACACACCTATATAAACACGTTCAAAACAAGGCTAAGAAGGGATACACTGAACACCCCTAACAGGTAACACTCGACGCACATACCACCTGATAACACCGTAGGCTCTAATGCCAACGGGTCCTCAAATACACAGCATTCAATGGAGGGCTTTACTTAATCGGCACCCCTTTCACTGAGACCACCAACGATGGGTAGAATACCGCCTTCACATTGAGATATACAGCCAGTATCAGGCGGTGGTAAGTATGATTGTGTTCCAGATCCAAGCAAAGATTGAGCATCTGGTCAATACACCCGCAGCCAGGTTTGGAATCTATCTGGTTTCCTCAGGTTCGTACGGAAAAATTCAGCTTAGAACCTGGCACACAAGTTCATTCGTTCGAGTTGCCATTATTCACAGTAGTGTATAAAGAACGGGTAGATAAATAAAGAGTGATATAACAGTAAACAAAGTTGAATGAGATAATAAAAAGGTTAGTGCGAATATACAAGCTTCATAAGATGTCAAGGAGTGAATACATCTGCCCCATCGTGACCGGTTTTCAGCCATTTGACCAAGAGTCCTCAACCACTGTTTAGTTTTGTCTTGAGGACCCCAACCACACAGTCTTCATCTACTCACACCAACAGTAGGACACTTCATCGACTGGTGTCAGGTCTTGGTCTGACCACCCTTAACCCTCTTCCAACGTAATCCAACTTTCCCTAACATGGCACGTCGTGGTAAGTAGTGGTTTGGCATGTGCAGTACATGTTCAAACCACCTAAGTCGACTACATTTCAAAACCACATCAATCGACTTGCCTGTCTCACAAAGTACTTATGTCAACATCGCTCACACGGTGATTCCACCTAACGCAATGTGATCAAGAACCTGTAACCGCTTCATGTTTTCTACTTTTGACGGCCATGTCTCACAATCGTATGGCATGAGAGAGTGAACCGGAGAGGCGTGTACTCATCCTTTGATAGATAGTCGGATATCTCACCAGTCACCAGTGTCAGAGATGATGTGAGTTGGCAAATGCCAGTCGGACCTTCTGTATCCGAGCTGAGATTTCGTCAGCGACCAACCAGTGTGGGCTGATGCAAAAATCGAAAACTTCATGCACTGGTACCATGTTTTATCCTAGTTACCATTAACCGTACTCCAACCTGGTTCAGCTAACATTGAGTGACAAAGTAGGTGGTAACTGGGGATGCGCAACACATTTCCCAACCACCAAAGTGGATGGAGATTCACAACCCCATCAACTGACACCTATTCTGCCTTAGACTTTATTATGAACGTGACGATTTCAGAGACTATATGTCTGCTTCGAAGTCGGTGCTGGTCGAACACATGAGGCCTAATATCCTCTCTACTTAATAACCATTTTTCACAGCCGTATAGTGGAACAAGGCGAACTGCAGCTCAGTACACCAGGGCGTTAATAGACAATCAGATATCACTATATTGCTATAAATGAAGTGAGTTTGCGAAAGCCTAAAAAGCTTTCTGTGAGTGTGCCTGAAATCTAGCCAGAAAACCCATACCACAGGATTAAGTGGAGTGTGCTGATTTTGGCGCAACCTTTTTCTAAACCCCTTCTCATAAGGAGGATAACATGGACGTGGTTCAGCTGGTCATTCTTGGGAACCACCTTGTACTATTACATCCTGTCCAGTTAGCGGCTCAACCTTCCTTCTAATCGTCATCATGGTGCAGTTAATTCACACGATAATGATTACTATTTTTTTACCACTATCTTACTAGCCTTCCTCATATGATAGGAAATCAAAAAACAAATTTTTCGACGAAGGCAGCCAGTTGAGTTATGGGATATGTAAGATAGCAATATGTATTATTTAAGTATGAGGAAGTCTTTATGTGAATGGTGCCGCTTGAAACTAATCATATCTTGCGCACTTTATCCTCAATCTTTCTGACTAATTAGAAGCTAAACTTTAGTAATGTATGAAGTGAAAGAAAAATAGTCTAACAAGTAAACCTCACTAATTATTTTATGGGTTGCATCAACCGTGACGGCCGACGGAATCCGAAGATGAAAGTCTTATTTGTTTTTAAACAGTTATGGTGTCGGTAAACAGCCAAACTGCTTATATAGGGTTAGAGTGCACCACGTGAATGAACAAATATAGTCAGGATTGTACTGCTTTTGAGAACGGTGTCGTTAAGACGACTTCTTTCATGTTTGACATCCTTTTGTGACTTTCTAAGTGAACTGTTGGTTCTCTCTTTTCAATTCTTAAATCTGTCAGACTATATGTAAAACTATAACTCATCGATTCAGGCACTCAACTTTCAGCTGGAGAGTCGCGTGCTCACTCATTTTTGCATACCAACGTATTCAGATCATATCAGCGGCCCTTGTAAGGTAAAGCATGTTATAATATACTTGTCAAGGTAAATCCTGCGCATAGTCTCCAGTTTGTTGGGGTTTCATCCTATTTAACCACACGCTTCATGTTCTGAAGTTTTAATGTGTCCGTTTTTTTGTGGTGCAGTCACTTGGCAATATTTCAACTTTTATTCTGTATCATCAGACGTAATATGTGCTTTCTTCATTTGACTAATCTCTGTTCACTTTTTTCTAGATCGACATTATGACGCGTCACTCAAAAAACTGTACTGCTCATACTGTCTATACTTATTATGAGCGAAAAAATGATGCGCAGAGGTCTGGCTTTGGTACACAGGAAATTCGATTAGGCAAGGATTCAGTAAAAGCACTTGATTGCTGCTGTCTTTCATTGCAACCAGCAAAGGATCCTGTGGTTACCAGTGATGGATTTCTGTACGACCGAGCAGTTGTCTTAGAATACATCGTTGGCCAGAAAGCTGAAATTCAACGGAAACTTAGGTTGTACGAAAAGCAAAAGGCTCGTCTAAACGCTGAAGCCAAATTACTACGCAAGGCTGAGAAAGAGGAGGAAGCTCGACGCTTTTTATCGCTAAATACTCTAGATACTCATTCACAAGCATCTGCACAGGCTGCTGAAGCGGAAGCTCTCGCTTCTTTGCCCCACAAACGCAATGTAATGCCTGGAAAGAATTCGTGTTTCTGGGCTTCTGCCAGCACGCCAGACCAGGAATTCGACAAAGAACTCATGGGTAAACCTGATACAGTTGTACGTTGTCCGATGAGTGGTAAGCCGTTGAAGTATAAAGATTTAGTCGGTGTAAAGTTCACCAGCTTTGAGGATGATTCTAAAGTAATGGGATTCAGTCAAAACAAACCAGTCAATCGTGAAGTTAAATACTGTTGTGCTGTTTCTAAGGATCCCCTAACAAATGCCACAGTTTGTGTGGTTCTTAAGACGTCTGGAGCAGTAGTCACCAAAGAAGTCGTCGATACTGTGATAAGAAAAGAAATGATCGATCCAATTAGTGGCCAGAAAATGAGACCGACTGACTTCATCGAACTTCAAAGAGGATCTCTTGGTTTTGCTGATGAACGAACATTGCTGACTGCGAAACGTGTTCGACCATCTATGCAAACTTGAAACTTTTTTACTGTGAATATGACTTCTACTTCCCAGAACGGTTTTCTGTACATATTTCGCATTACTTTGTATAGATCTAAATAATCAGAAACATTCTCAGCGCACTTGCTTTTTCATTCTTGATTCGAATTTGTTATACTAGTCAGACTTTCACTCTTTATTCGTCACAGTTCTCCACAATACTACAATTTATTGGGAATTTGAAGCTTCCGATTTACCATGTTAATTCTGAACAAATCAAAATTCTGAAGACTCCACAAGATTTCTTCCATGGTTTATTGGTACGTATTTTCGTGATATTTTGAGTTCTTGAGCCGCTATGTTTTTGCTAATTTGTAGTCAGTTTACGTTTATTTTTCGACTGTTTATTTTCCTCTACTACTTCTTTGGTTGTTGGAAGTGCGAGTTGTACTTAATTAGTTGACTTGTCTCTGGAAGTGCAAAAAGGAATTGAACACTATGGTGAATAAGGCCGGCAGTACTTTAGTATAATACTTGAGTTAATTCTGCAATATAAAAAAATTCGACATAGCCTACATCAGAAAAGTCGTAGAATGGTAGTATCATTGTTATTCATCTTAATTCTAATTTCGTTGATTTTACCCCCTTCTCCTCTTAAACTTTCTACAACTTCCAATCACTTTTTTCTCTCTCTATTTCCCCATCTATCTTCTTGTGTCTTCAGATGTAGCAACCAAAACTGTTTATACTATATCGCTAGGTCCAGGCCAACATCAACGTGGGACTTGACATTGTTGCGTAACATCCATACTGCCACACCTCATTTCAGCACATCAAGAAAGTAAGCAATCGTTAGATCCCATATTGAAATTGACCGACTGACTAAAGCTCTTCAAAAGCAACTTCATAGTTTTTGATTCAGTATTTTATCGACCCCGTGACCAACTGAACTGCTTTGGTTTTCATTTCGGAAACGAAGTTTCATGACAGTTCACTGACCTCAAAAGTTTTTCTAGCGATTGTACCGGTTATTGTGTCATGTAGCTTATGGACTTTAATCGCTTTTCTGGTCATTGGAATTCATCAAGTATCGAACGTAAATTACATAGTGGGCTATGAAATTAGATTTTAGGATGTGACTCTACTTGTTTCAAAATGAACATGATTTTCTTGTAAGACTGAAATGGATATAATGCCTAGATTAATGTCGAAGCTTCTTCCAGTAAAACATGAAGTCAATATTGTCAGTACCTCCTTAATGCGAAGTGAAGCTATATATGTTTAAACACCTTTATACTTTGAATGAATGCCCTGTTGTGTTTACTTAATGCTTGTTCGGTGAGACATTGTAGACAAACATAAACAACATAGGAACTAGCAAGATTTTCTGTGAGTTTGATTTCCCACATTTCATAACAATAAAGATAAAATAGCAAACCCAAGATAAAAAGTGGTACTGGTAAACAACCATAAAAGAAGTGTAAGGAGTGATCAGTGTACGATATCAAAGTCGATTTTCAGCTGCTTCATCAAGCATTCATTTCTACTGCCTGGTGGAACACTAAGTGATCCAAGTCAACAAAAAACTCAAGGGTATTTTTTGTTTAGTACATTTTATCCTTAAGTCATATTCAGATATCTTGGGAGGGGTTAGTTGTTCAGCATACTTAGGTTGTTCTCAATTCTTTGGCATATCACGTAGTCAACAAACTTAACTACTTCTTCCTCTACCATCAGACGAGGTGAGTATGCAGCCCAATCATTCAGCAGCAATTTGCATCTCAAAGAAACATTTCAAATATGACGTCTCAAATGATTTCCAGAGAATTATTTTCTAATCAGCTTCTTTGATCAGAAGGACTAGATTTTCTGTACGCTGATGCACTGCAGATCAAGTTTTCGCGTTAATCTGTTTTTGTCTATGTGGACCAAATCGACTGGAGAGTCTTGACACGAACAAGGTCAGCTTCTACGGTGTTAGGTGAAAAATAAGATTCCTCTTCATAAGTCCACCTATAACAGTCAAATAAAGGTTCATCATGAACAACCCTAACAAACATCACCCTACACAGCCATTGCAAAGCTGAGCTCACAGACAGACCAAATCAACGTAGAACCTCTCACTCAAGTCCACTGGCTGAAGTTGCCTCACTTCACAGTAGTACACAAAGAACAAGTGGGTAGGAAAAGTGATATCGAAGAATATGAAGTAGTGTGGGAAAATAAACAATCTGAAGATAAAGGTCAGTGTGAGTTCAAGGTTTAGAAGATGTCAAGGAGTGAACACAGCTGCGCTATTGTGATCGATATTCAGCCATGTCACCTAGAATCTCCAATCAGTGATTCTTTTGGTTTCGAGGATCACAACCAAGTAGTACACACCTCTCTACACGACTCAGACCAACAATCAGAGACTTCATGTGATAATATTAAGTCTTAGCCTGATCACCCTGAACCCTCTTCCAACATCCCCTAGCATGTCACGTTGAGGTAGGTGATGGCTTGAAGTGCGCATCACATATCCAAACCACCTCAATCGGGAAAGGTCCACAACTTTATCGACTGACGAGCTAAACTAACTGTAAGCCCTGGCTCATCATGAGTGTTTAATTATATTGTTTAGTAGAATGACAAAATTGCCATTCACTCTTTTCAGTTATAAACCTTGTCTCAAGACATTGATCCAGAATCATTTTTATCTTCAGGTTTTTCAAAGTTACTTAGTGTCGTTCTGCTAAATATCCGTGTTCTAAGAATTTTTTAGGGGCTTTAAGGTATACGCGTCACACTCATGTCTATACCTGAAACCTAGCTGGTTGTTTCAGCATCGTTACTTTTACCAAATAGTCATAGGGTGACTTGGTTTCCTAATATCTTAGAAAGCATGCTTTTGTTATTGTGGTACAGGTATTTCCTTCTTTCCTTGTAATTTGGTGCGGTCTAAACCGGTTCGGTAGCCGTGCATGATGCTGCTTGTTGTTATTGTTGGTGGTGGTGATGTATATCTTCATCACCTCTATCTTCTCTACGTCCACCTGAAACAAGTCCCGTCTTTGCTGCCTCGCCTCGCCTCGCTTCTCCTCTTCTGCCAACTTGTTAGTTCTCGCCCGTAGATCTTCGAGTTTGAACGACAAGACATTAGACATAAATCATCATCGGTGAAATCTAAATCTTCTTCTGGAGTCTTTCCATCGGTCCAGCCAGCATATTCCCATCTTCTCGTTCCTAACAGTTTGTCCCATGATCCAGTCCAGTCCAGTCCAGTCTAGTTCAGTTGAGTCGACCACAATCTGGAAGATGATCGGTGATAGTAGGTGGCAACATTGTCTTACGTCTTCCTGTCTTCACTTCACTTCACTTCAAAAACATCACTGAACTTTCGATTGTGAATCAGTCGGCTGGCATGTAGCATCATATAGCATAGCATATGGCTGCTGTTGAATGAGGTTGATAAAGGTTTGTGGCACTAAAACCGTAGTGTTGAAGCAGCTGCCTGTCAAATTACTTCTCGTTCGACGTTATCGAAGGTCTTTTCATTGTTGATGAAGTTGAGTTGAGTTGACTGCCGTTCTATGCTGTGTTCTATGAAGATACGTGGCGTAGGGTGGCAGTTTTGTCTGAGCATGATTTGTTTTTGCTGAAGCCAGCCAGTTAGCCTGTTCCGGTCGTAATTTTGAATCCAGTGCATCCTTTAGTCTTTCCGGAATGATGCGAGATAATATTTCGTTTAGGGTGTACATGGACAGGAGCATGATTCCGTGCCAGTTCTTGTAAAGACTTAGGTCTCCCCTATTTGGGAGTTTGACAAGGTAGCCCTTCTTCCAGTCAATCGGCAAGTACCTTTCCTGTCTCCCTTCCAAACCTTCTGCAATAGTTGTGTGAGCGTGTTTGCTGCTATTGTGTCTGCGTCTGTTTTCAGTGCTTCTGGCGGAATTGCATCTGGCCCTGCTTCTTCCTCAGCTTTCAGCAACTTTATGGCGTTGAGGACCTCGCTTCTGTTTTTGTCGGAGTGTTATTGTTCACTGATAGTTCTGTGGCTGTGCTGTTGGTGGTATTTGTGGACGAGTTGCAGGTGGTGATGGAGGAGGTGGTTGATTCAGGAGTTTTTTGAAGTGGTCAGCCCATCTTTTCCTTTGTTTCTCCTATTTGGTAACTAGCTTTCCTTCACCATCTTTCATTGATATAATCTGTGTTGATGTTTTCCCTCCCAGATAGTAACCTGGTTATTTGATATAATGTTGTCAGGTCTCCTCTGTCTCTCTTACCTGCAGTCTGTTCTGCTTCACTTGCAAGTGTGTCGTAGAAGTGTCTTTTGTCTTTGCGCACATTCTTCTTCACTTCTTTGTCCAGTGTAGTGTTTTGTAGGTTGTGTTCAGTTCCTCTTTTCGTTGTTCATCCCTGCACTGCAGTGCACTGCACTGGTTCATCTTCTTCTTCACCATCTTCCTCTCCCTGCACTATCAGCTTGCATGTGTCTGTGGAGATCCATTGCTTGTCTTGTTTCCTCCTCCTTCCTAGTACGGTTATGCAGGTTTCTTTCCACATCGCTTTCTGAGAGTTCCAGTGTTCTTCCACGCCCGATCCTTCAGGGTATGTTGCTCAATTTCTCCTATTTTGTTCTGATGGCTGACGTGAATATTTCGTTTTTTGTTTCGTTCTCCAGTGTCCGTTCGTTCCATCAAACCGACCAACAAGTTTCACTAGCCAGAGTAAGGGTTGGGCCTTATGGAAAACTATCTAGCCTCCTATTGATACTAACTTTCAGACGTGTTTATTGTTGCAGGTGATTTCAATGCATAAGTTGGTAGAAGAAATCAGGCGGATAAGGACTTAATTTGCGGCTGCGGAATCCCGAACTCCTTAACACCTAACGGTAACCACCTGCTGCAGCTGTTCTCCGACAAGCATCACTTACTGGCCAACATGAACTCCAGGTGGGAAGAGACATTATCTTACGTGGCGTCTACCAACCACCCCTGAGAGGTGAGCACAGGTAGATCACATTGCCATCAGCTATCGTGGGAGGTTGTCGGTGAAGGATTGCCAACCTTTCTGGAACACGTATTTGGGCGGTGGCCGGTATTTGGTCCGAGCACGTGTATTCTATACGTAGATATGACATACCAGCCAGGACCCTGGTGAGTGCAACTCGACAATGAGAGCACTGATGTCGGTTCCATTGAGAAACTGGGTAGGCAGTTATCGTATCAAAACAACGTCATCATTGATTGGAAGCCTGGTGCCATCTCCAGTCTGCTGTAAAAACAGCGTCAAAGACTGACTGTAAAAAAAAGATGTTAGTAAATTCTAGCAGCTTCTGCTGAACGAATGTATGCCCATTAATGCATCCCTTCAGATCTTGAGGACGATAGGGAGTGGAAACAACTCAAATATAAACTGACTGGAGGTCTACACAATGACCGTAAACAGTAGTGGGTGGTGAAGGCTAAAGAGATCAAGAAAGGCAGTATTGATAGATAACAGTGGGCAGCTATTTAAACGTATTAGGGAAATTGAGATAAATTGGTCAGTGTGTTAGTGAGACTATAGCAGAGAAGGATATGTCTTTGATTCGCAAGGGAGACGATTAGAATGATTAGCGGAACACTTCAGCTGGCCTCCAATAACTAATGGGTTCCCCACTATTCAGTCAGATCAAGAATGGAACATTGAGATAAGACCTCCAATAATCTGAAACCAGGAGTAGTATCAGGACCAAACGGTCTGGTACCAGAGGTAATTAAGATTGGTGGTCACAGATTATTTGTCTGAAGTGTTAGCTGTATCCATATTGTTTACTAACTGGTCAATCAAGCATTCTGTAAATAACCAGTAACTCTATGGCTTCTGGCAAGAAAAATGAAATCGACTGTGAACATCTTACAGAAGTTGCTACACTTAACAGGAAGAAAACGAGTGATTTAAGTCAGAAAGACGAAGAAGTACGAGCATAGAAAATAAATAAAGTTGATGAAAATATTTCATGAAGACTTCGAAGATGACATTGGTGCATGCATCTGTGCCATTGTAGTCGACTTTGAACAGTATGGTAAGTCTACAACCAGTGACTTTTATCGTCTTGAGGACCCCCAGTAGTAGGTAGAGTGCAATACTGCAAGCGAACATCATCCATCCATCCAAATCAACATAGAAAATTCAGCCAGAAAAAAATATAAACTACTAAGAGAAAGGAAGAATGACAAAATGGTGAGATTTGGTATAATGTTAAGATGAGGATAATGTGTGTATGCATCTGCACCACTGACATCGGTTCTCAGCCATATCACCTAGAGTCTCCAGCCACTGGTTCCTCTTTTCCCGCCGACCCCAACCACCTAGTCTCCATCGCCTCCACATGGCTCAAACCAACAGTCAGGGACTTCATACATTGATGCCATGTTTGGCCACCTCGAGCCTTTTTTCAGCCTGAACCTACTTCGGCCAACAATGTGACGAGGCAATCGGCGACTAGGCATACGTGACACATGTCCCAAACATCTCAGTCGTTGAAGGTTCACAACCGTGTCAACTGACTTGCCTCTTCTCCCTAAAATTCTACGCCTGACATCAGCGTTACTCGTGTGGTGACACCATGGAACACGGCCTATACTACGAAAGTAACAGTGGTCAAACACCTGAAGCCTTCCCATGTCTTCAACCTTCAATGGCCATGTTTCACAGCCATACAGTAGAACAGACCGGACTGCTGTTCGAGTGCAGTACACGCGACCCTTAATAGACAGTCGGATATCACGGCGGCGCTATAGGTGGCGTAAGTTGGCAAAAGTCAGCCGAGCCTTTTGTATTCGTACAGAGATTTCATCGGCCACAGAGTCATCAGGGCTGATCCTAATTCTCAGGTAAGTGTAGTGGTCAACACACCCAACCATTACGTTCTCCATTGTTAGCCGAGGTACCGTTGAAGACCAATCCTGGAGCAACAGTTTGCATTTGGGTGGTGAGAGACGCATCCCAAACATTCTCAAATTGCCACTCAGTGTCCAGAAAACTCAGCGTCTTCAGCACTTAAAACCATATTATGTGATTAAACTTGCTACATTTACATGTACCATAAGTACCAAAATGCGTTCGCTCTAAAAATTCTAACTATCATTGAGTCAAGATCTTGGTGTTCTTCAGAGATCAAACTAGATGTATGTAGTATGCGATGTATCAAAAACCTAGACTAATTGGTTTCGATTGGTTGGACTATCCCTAGTCATCTCACTAAGATATGATTCTTTTTGACAACATATACATTCGTATATCTGTATATGGGAATAAGTGTCCAGATATTCGATATCATAATAGTTCGCTATGCATCTAATCAGTTTTATAAAGTATTCGTATGTTAAACACAGTGATGTTCTCATTTGATAGCTGACCTGGACACTGAAATATGTTCATGAGATTTAGAGTGAATTAGTGCAACTTAACCCAGTGCTTGTTTATGTACTACGTTGGTGTTTTAGTCAATCAGATCAAAACTACACCGGAAGTTAACAAAAGAAAAAATTCTGTAGTTCTTGTAATGCTAATGAGACTCAGAATGCGTTGAAATACTGAGGCTGGTTCCACTACGGTGATACCGCTACTACTTATCATGTGAGTGCTTACGATATTACCTCGTTTCTCAGGTCGAAATTGGTGGAACAGGGTTCAAACTATGCCTCATTGCTTGAAAGTGTAATTCTCCAGTCAATGAGCCACATCTCTATATACCACTGTTGATATATGATGGTCTTCTGTTGTTCATATCATGAACTCGTGAACATGACTTTTCAGATTACTGGTTCACTTTTTAAATACACATCAAAGTGCAAAAGTAAGAGTCAACATTGTTTGTGCATGTGTTACTACATTATGCATATTTATGAGATGAAATCTTTTCAACAGCGTTTTGCATTGTATTGTTGGTTAGTACCTTAATATTGATTTTTTTCTTGGCGTTATTCATGTGGGGAATGTTGAAATGCGATTTAAGACATTCACATAAGCTCATGATGGCTAAGTTTTCTTCGTAGGGTGTTTAGATTATCCTGTGACTAAACTCTACTGCCTAGGTATTCAAACTTGGCTTCATTTCTGTGAGCAATGTTGAGGTCAGACGAAGGGTACTAGACAAGTCGATTGATGAGGTTGTGAACCTTGGTCGACTGAGGTGGCTCGAACACGTGTTGTGCATGCCGATTCGCCACCTACCTCAACGTGGAATGATAGGGGAAGTAGGATTAGGCTGAGAGGGTTCAGGGTAGGTAGACCAAGACCTGGTACCACTCGACGAAGTCTCATACTGTTGGCATGAGTCGTGTGGGTAGAAGTAGACTATGTTTGGGGTTCTCTAAACGAAAGGAATCTTTGACATGACTGAAAATCTGTCACAGCTATGCGGATGTAATCACTTTTCACATCTAAAACTTGAATATTCTCACTATCCTTTATCTTCAGATTGTTTATCACCCCACACTTCTTTGTCTTCTTTGATATCACTCTTCCTGTCTGCCTTTTCTTTTTGTACGGCTGTGAGGTGTAGTGACCTCAGGCGACGAACCTGTTTACGAGGTTCCATCTGTATTTAGTTTTTGTGTCCGATTGGCATAACAGAGTGTACAAGCTTTAAGTAAAGTGTTATAATGAAGTGGTTTCCTTCCACTTCTTAGTCGAGTCACTGACTTCGTCTATTGACTGGAAACCCAGTCTCCGACCTTTAAATATTTCTTCAAATCGGTGTATTATAGGTAGTAAAAACACCTACTCAAAAGACCATCAATTATGTATCTGTGTGAAGTTTCTCATTTTATTTTTTAAGCTAAATTTTATCATTGATCATCACTCCTTTTTGTTTTGTTATATTCTCTCTAGGAGCATATAGGTAGTGCAAATAAGCGAATTATTTTATCAACTTTGTATATTGGAACAGGTTCTTTAGAAAGTGAATTAGTAAGTGATAGCTTTCGGATTGAATATATTTCCTGAAATCTACTTTTAAAAAATAATATCTTTATTGATGCGATAACTGTTTGAACTGTATCAAATAATTATGGAGTCAAGGAATAAACATAATAAATAAAAGATGGAGTTAATCCCAAGTGTTAATCAGTTCCCAACTGTTCACTTCTGCTAACTCATATCTACTCCCTGAGCCCACATTATATCTTGATATGACCATGTATAGTCTTCTGTAGTTAAAATCCTACATTTTTGGATAATGAAATTCCGTATGACGATTAAGACAATGTGAGGGTACACCTGCGCCGTGTAATCGATTCTGAGCCATATCACTTGGAGTCTCCAATCACTGGTTTCTGTTTCGTGTGAACTTCAACCGGGAAGTTTAAATTCGCTACATGGTCCAAACTGACAGTTAAAGAATTTAAGCAGTCATGCTGTGTTTTACTCTGGTCGTTTCTAACGTTTGTCCACCTTGAACCTAGTTCAGCTGACACTGGGCAGCTATCTAGACGGTGGCTTAGCATGCTTAGCACTTATCCCAGCCACCTGAGGGGATGGAGTTTCATAACCTCATCAACAGGTTATGATCAACAGACACCTACTCTACATTAGACTCTACACCTGACTTCTTTATTACCAACATAATGGTAAAAATGCTCGGTCTTTACTGCGAAGTCAAACATCTGAGGCCTCCTCATGTCCTCTACTTTGAATGGTCATATTTTACAGCCATACAATAGAACGGGGCCAACTGCATTTCACTACACTTAGCCGCTAGCGGACAATCCGATATCACGGTGGTGCTATAAATGGCCTAAGTTAGCGGAAGCTTTTTGTATCCATGCGGGGATTTCATCAGTCACTGACCCATTAAGGTTGTTCAAACTTCGTAATTGGCTGAATTGGTTACCACGTCCAACCACTTCACTCGTTGTTATTAAGTATGGACATGCCGCTCCTGGAACAACAGTTTGCATTTGGGTGGTCTTACCATCGATATCTTTGCCTTAGTTTCTTTGATCAGTATAGACAGCTGTTACCTATCGCCTCTACCTTTTTCATCTCCTTAGCCTACGCTACTCACCACTGTTCGTGGTTATTGTGTAGTGTCCTTTTTCGACTCCATTTGAGTTGCTACCGCTCCTCATTGTGGTCGGAGCCTTCAGGGATGCGTTTATGGATATTCATTCGTTCAGTAGAAGCCGCTGGAATCTACTAACCCTTTCTAAGGTATTTTCACAGTCAGATGCAGTCTTAGACTCTGTTTTTACACCAGACAGGAGGTGACGTTAGTCTCCTTCTAGATGAATGATGTTGTTCTGTACCGATAACTGTCTAGCCAGTTTCTGTTTGAAAGCACGGTTGCTTTTCCCATCAGTTGACGCTCTCCAACGATATCTGATAGCAATGTGATCTCCGTCCATCTTTCAGTTGAGATCGGTGGATACTATGTCAAACAGTGTCTCTCTTTATGTCTGAAGTTTGCGCTGGATGGTTATCTGACCACAGTTGCAGCAAGCGATTGCTGGGATTCTTAAAGTGCAATTTACGTGCCTTGCCTAACTTAGCCTCCTACTTGTGCTCTTAAGTCAACAACAACCACGTTAGAGATCACAAGGAGACAATACAATTCTCACTATTTTTTTTCAGTCCTCACTGTGTCGTTCAGTCAAACAGCACACAAGCGACTGTCATTTGCACCCAGTCTAGCAGTAAACTTTCTGCCGGGGGACTAAATGCTATTTTGGCAACTATAATGTCACGAGTATCAGGGATCGAATCTCTAGAACCTGGAGGGGTGAACTTTGCGGATTCACCATAGTGAGTTGAAGTGAATAGCCACACTGAGATCTGATGTGTATATTACAAATACAGCGCATGTCCTTGGCCTTAGATGCCTGTCTATTCACATCGAGCGTTATTTCTTTTTTAGGTGCGTAAACGAGAAATTGTTTTGTTGTGATTGTCATATGACTGATTGTCATATGAAATAGCCGTAGTTTGACAGACTAGTATTTATACTGGGTGATGATTGAAGGTGAAATGGAAATTTGGACCGCGGTGTAACCACAGAGTCAAATGATATCTGCCTAACACAAGTAGCGTATGGACTCTTTTAAATTTTGAGATTTCATTTTTATTTTCTTTAAATTCAGGTAGAAAACTCATATCGTGGGATATAGAGAGACCGAAATTTTTACTTCTCCCTTTCCGTAAGGAAGTCAACAAATCATGAACTGGCTATCATCCACGAGAAATGCGTTACTACTATCACACCTCGTCCAACCAGCATTGCGACTTCTCCCTCTGACCGTCATCATTTCGTAGCTGCTTTCACTATAATGGTATCTGTTTTTCGTCTTGCCACTATCTAACAAACTTTTCTGATGTGGTAAGGCCTCAAAAAAACAAATTTGCTCACTACTTAGCTCGTCGAGTCATTGTGATATTCAAGCCCGACCTCGTCAGCGGGGCTTTCACTAGACAATTCATTATCTGTTGTGTAGTTGACGTCAAACCTCTGCACTGACATATGTATCACCGTTTTAAGCATATAAAATCCTTGTGGATTTTGTTTACTTCTTTACATTAGGTCTTTTTGGTGGGTTCAATGCCTATCATTAATTTAAAATTGCGTTCTGTCTAACAGTTATTCAACTGGTAAAGAACATTTTAATGCTGTTCATGCGTTATGGTTATTTTTTTAAATATATTTTTTAGGTTATTGCACTTAAGAAAGCTGTTTGTGAGAGAAATGTGAAACTCACCATTCTAATGGATGCTACACGTGGCCTACGACCCAGTGTAACAACTAAATACTATGCAGGTATAAGCAATACGGATACTTCATCGTCTACTAAGAATCTACTGGAACCAATTCCGCATTCTTCATCTCATTTTTTATCTCATTTAACTGCCCTACCAGATGTATCAGTTCTGCTCTATAGTCATCCTTCTCCTTATAAGTGGATTAGATATTTTCTCCCAAATCGTTGGAATGAAATATTCGGTGTTCAACATATCAAAGCGTATGTCTTTGATGATTCAGTTATTATGAGTGGGTAAGTTTTTTGTACCTCAGTTAATATTATTGTTAGCTTTATGCTTAAGTCACTGTTGTATACCGACACATGTAACCAACTTTTTTCATATGATAATATGTAACTTACCACTTACTATCTAGCTTACTCTGATTAGCTGTTTTGGATAAAGATAAATACTCAACAAGAATCAGATTATCTGAATGTAGATAGTTCATCAAAGCGTTTCTGTGTTCATCATCATCATTATCAACATAGGACCAGGCATTACTGCGTAACGGTCCGAGTTGCCACACCTCATATCAGCACATCAAGTAAAAAGGTAGTGAGGTGAAGGATGAAGATAAGTGAATGCAGTCAAAAGAAATATAAAGTATGAGAAGAAAGGAAAGAGGAGTGACAAAATAGTGAGATTCGGTATAGCGTTGTTAAGATGAGGATAATGTGTGTATACATCTGCGCCACTGACTTCGGTTCTGAGCCATATCACCTAGGGTCTCCAACCACTGGTTCCTCTTGTCCCGTGGACCCCAACCACCTAGTCTGCATCGTCCTACATGGCTTAAACCAACAGTCAGAGACTTCATACATTGGTGCCATGTTTTAGTCTGGCCACCTCGGGCCTTTTTCCAGCCTGAACCCACCTCAGCCAACATTGTGTGACGAGGCAATCGGTGACTAGGCATACGTAGTACGTGTCCCAACCATCTCAGTCGATGAAGGTTCACAACCTCGTCGACTGACTTACCTCTTCTCCCTAAAACTCTACACCTAACTTCTGCATTACTCACATGGTGACACCACGGAATACGTCCTATACTACGAAGGCAACGGTGGTCAAATACCTGTAACCTTCTCATGTCTTCCACTTTCAATGGCCATGTTTCACAGCCATACAGTAGAACAGAGCGGACTGCTGTGCAGTACACGCGACCCTTAATAGACAAACGAATATCACGGCGGCGCCATAGGTGGCGCAAATTGGCAAAAGCCAATCGAGCCTTTTGTATCCGTGCAGAAATCTCATCGGCAACTAACCCACCGGGTTGATCCTACTTCCCAGGTAAGTGAAGTGGTCAACACACTCAACCACTTCACTCTCTATTGTTAACCGCGGTACCGCTGAAGACCAGTCCTGGAGCAAAAATTTGCATTTGGGTGGTGAAAATCGCATCCCAAACATTCTCAAATTCCCACTCAAAGTGTTCAGAAGACTCTGCATCTTGTCAGCGTCTTCACCTAACAGGACTATGTCATCTGCATATTCTAGATCTAAGGAAAATTCACCTGTGATCCGGTCAACGTCTTTGTAATTAGGTGACGAGAGGGAAACCTCCATAAGAATATCTATGATAAAATTAAATAAGAATGGGGATAGTGGGCATCCTTGACGGACACCACTTGATGAGTATAGCTCCCTGGACAACTCACCATAGGCTCTAACATGCCCACAAGTGTTCGAGTAGAGAGCTTTCAATAAGGTGATGTACTTACTAGGCACGCCTTTCAGTGACAGACACTGCCATAAGACTTCTCGATCAACGGAGTCAAATGCCGCCTTCAGGTCGAGAAATACAGCTATTGTCGGGCGTCTGTAAGCATGCCTATGTTCCAGGACCTGGCGCAGTGTGAATATTTGGTCGATACATCCACGGCCAGGTCTAAAGCCTGCCTGGTTTTCTCGGGCTTGCTGTTCCCGAGCTCCACTCAGGCGTCGGAGAATTATAGAACTTAGGATCTTAGACACTATGTTTGTCAGGCTGATTCCTCTGTGGTTATCACAAGAGGACTTCTCGCCTTTCTTGAAGACTGGGATGATCAGTGACTTAGACCAGTCGGAGGGGATCGTATTTGATTCCCATATACTGGCTAACACTTCCGTTAGCCTGACTAAGAGAACTCTACCACCATTCTTGTATACCTCAGCAGGTAGTCCGTCTGGTCCTGCTGCCCTTCCCCGTTTCAGGCTACCTACCGCTTTCTCAACTTCTTCTAGTGTTGGGGGACCTGTCTCTATGTCCCATTCAGGGTCCGACTGGATAGCGGGCAGCGCAATGGTGGCTGGAGGCCAGTTAAACTGTTCCTCAAAGTGTTCTGCCCATCGTCCCAGTCGCCTTCCCTGCGAGTGAATCGCCGATCCGTCCTTCTCCGCTATAACCTCACTAACTGTTGTTGACCATTTCCCCCCAGTCTCCTTAATAAGTCTAAATAACTGTCTACTGTTACCGTTTCTGTGTTAATTTGATTCATTTAAAGGGATGTAGAACAGAAACCAACTCTACACACATATTAGTTCATCGAGACAAGATGGCACAGAGAAAACAATTTTCTTTTCGACCACCTCACTTTTAAAAGATACACAGTCGTATTTGTATTCCAAAAGAATTCATTCAATCCAATAAGGTGGTTATTATTATATGTTGGTAATTGTAATTTTCCGTTGTTATTTTAGATCAAATTGATCACCCTCTAGGCTGTGGACTCCCATGCGGATGTCTCGGTATTGGAGCGATGGATACGAGGTTCGAGTCCTATATGGGACACCATCACTCACTGGAGTGTAGGCACATCCAACTGACGAGTCCCAAATAGGACGAAACGTGTGTCCAGGATTCCACCTCTAGCCACAACCAAATCCTTTATACTCATAAGATAATTTACTCTCGAAAACTGCTACACCATAAGAAGAAAAGCGTTGAGTGTTAGTGTGAGTGAAAAAATAAAAACGGGTGTGGTTGATAGCGCAGAAATGAACGGTTTGTTATTGATCTTGAGTAGTTTATTATATTTCAGTATACTTTTCATCAATGACGGACTGATACTTGCGAGAAAACCATTATAAACCTAAAGACACTAAACTACTGTTTCATGCTATTTTGGGAATCATCACAAGTGCGTACTCACGAAAAAATACAGTACTCATCGTTTAACTGTCAGATATTAAACTTACTGGACTAAACTGGTAAGTTCATTTCATCATATACATTCTAACTGATACTGATGTGAAATGCATTCCGATATGACTTGATACCTGAATTTTGCAAGTGTCGTACGTATGAAGCCAAACGGCTTCATAAGCCGGTGGAGCACACCTCATGATATAAAAAATAACCACAAACTAAATTGTCCTTTTTTACTTTACACTAGTTGAAGAGAAGCGGTCACCTGTCCGTAGACACCTGGAAACACTCCATGAGTCACACTTCCATGTTTTAGTGTTCACAACATGATGAATCATGTAAGAGGGTTTAACCACTCTAAACTAAATCACAATAGGTGTGTTGTTATTCGCAGTTTCACGATCGGGAGTCAACTGACCGCTAAATTCACTGAGTTATACAGCCACTGACAACTTGTCTGCAGCCTCCAACGACGTATTCATCATAACTATCTTCAAATCAGAAATTATTTTCTTCTAGATTTTCAAAGTTCTCTTCTGTTTTGTTTATTTATTCCCCCAAATCAGTGCCAATTTGAGCCACGAATACTTTACAACGCGGCAAGACAGAACTTGGCTATTCAAAAATGTTCCCAGTTTAGCTAATTTCTATGTCGATCTAATACACGTAATTAGTAAATTTTGCTATTCCGTCTGTCCAGATGGCAATCTGATAGCCAATAGTAATGATATTGCCTCAGGTAATCATTAAAATTAAGTTTTTCTACATGATTTTAATTCAGCTGTGATAACTTTGTGGTGAGTAGATTGATTTCAAAACTGTTTTGATCACAGGTTGATATCAACAAAAGAAGCATTGGAAAATACGGAGTAATTTTTGTTACTTTTCCCTAATGTATAAGGTACATCTTGGTTATATATGGCCAATCTACTTACCCTATATGGAATCAAACTCAGGACCGTCAGGTGGCATTCTGAGAACGTTACCACGCAACCGATGGATTAGTATCCAGTAGTTTATTCCATAGGTGATGAATTTTCCGCAGGACTTCATTCAATTCATCTCAAAGTCGGAATAAAGTATACAAACAGATAAAAGGGGCTGCCTTGGGATCACTAATATTCCCGATTGTACCAGGCTTATTTATGAACAGATTAGAACGCGTTGCCCTACTCCCAAAGTACAGCAGAGATATGTGAATAACATTTTTAGTGTTGAAATCAGAATCTATCAACGCATCTCTTGAACACATAAAGTCAGTAGTTGATGCTAACCAATTCACATATGAACTAGAAATTGAAGAAACGAGATCTGGCTATGTTCGACTGTAAAATCAAGCAAAGGAATGACGGAAGTTTGACTACTATCTACGAAAAGCCTTCACACCAATCGATATTTGGACTTTAAATCATCTCATACAACATCAGTTAGGTAGACTAAGTCAAATGTCTAAATAACAGGGGAGAAGACTAACTAGTAAGGCTGTTAATTTGTCTCTAAAACGGAAACATATAGAAGTAAGTATTATTACTGTACAATTACTGTTGTGCGCTCACCCAAAAAACACAAAGGGAGTAGTGACAAGAATACTAGGAATAATTCAATTGCAGACACAGAGGAAGTTACCAATGAAACCACAGAGAAGGATTCCTGATAAGACCAGGATTAGAGCGGTACTTAAATATAAAAGCTCCCTTAAAGATCAACTTTGTCGACTAAAAGCATCCTACCGAACTCAAACAAAATGAATTTAGTCTACCGAATTCGTGTAATGACTATAATGTCTAGTACTCCATAGGTCAAACTAGTCAACTGGAGTCAATTGTGGCAGCCGGAAATAGAAACCTAGCTAAACATAGAATGATAGACCCTGATGAAATAAGAAATCTAGGAAAGAACTCAGCCACAGCTATGGATGCTGTCACACCTGATCACACAATAGGATGGAATCGAGTGATAACTTTTTTTAATAACTTGTTTGGGTGGAAAAACAGATTGATAACTGACGCTATGTTTATCGAATGGATATCTGATATGTAATCGGAATGATGTAACTTCAATCCCGGATCAAAGAATGAAAAACAACTGATCGATTGACTGACTTTTCTTTCCTTCCTCATCAACAGATGTGGTGTGGCAACTTGGATCGTTACGCAGTAATTCCTGGTCCTATGTTGATTTTAGTGATGATGGTGCATCTCCTTCGTATGACTATGAACAATAAATTCTGGTCGAAATGTTCATCAGTACATAATACTGTTTCACTGTTTTACATGTATGAAATGGAACTGTTGTGGAATTTTACTCTATCATATAGCCCAAATTCTATTTTCATATTAAGCGGTGATCCATTTTCGGGAATCACACATTTCTAACATACTCATATGTAGCTTCGTCATCACCTTCCTTATAATTGATCTAATCTGGTCAATTCATATGAGTATAAAATTTGGTCAATTGTAATTTCGAGAGTGATGACGATGACGTGGAGCACAGAAATCTTTGTTCTTACCTCTTTAAATCGTGAGTGTAAAACTAAAGCGGTCATGTTGTGTATCAGGTATGCTTGGGCTACTAATGCCCAATCGGTAGCCATGTTGCAGTCAACTGTTCCTGAAGAAATGTCTTTATTTTTCACTATTTATATTAGTTGGCTTCAGTGCATAATTGTTTTGTCTGTTTTTATCAATTTCGTTTTCTCTTAGCTAGTTCTTCTATATTTCGACAGAAATTACACAACGCCCTAGTTAATTTCCTTCACAGTAAACAAGTGGAAAGTTGTAGTATAAATGCTGTAAAGCCAATGTTGACAACAGATACTTATTGTATCCCTTTACTGCAATATGGTCATTGTGATATTCGCTATGAAGAGGATTTTATGCAACGTTTATTCAAGTATTTCTCTCATCAAGTGCATTCACCCTTCAAGTTATTTCTAGCCTCTGGTTATTTTAATTTAACAAAGCTGTATGAAAAACTATTCCTTGACATGATAAATCTAATCGAGGGGCTACAGTTAATCTATTGTGTGCTTCACCATCGGTAATTATTTACGTGCATTTTTTTGTTGTTGTTGTTTTCGTTTTCCCGTTCACGTTTATTGGTAATACAATGTTTGTTACACTTTAAACAATCTTCAGCATGTATTGTAGCTGCCAAGGTAGCATTGTGGTCCAATGATCTCTTGTGATAATCTATTCATGGCGTATTAATCTCCTTAAAGTCCTTTCGCACCAAGAAGGTAAGCTGTAGAATAGCATACCACAGAATCAAAGCAAATAATATCACAACAAAAGTGCTAATAATGATGATCTTTATGTACTGAAATGAATATAGGGAGTGGAGCAATTGACCACATCAATTACTCCTCTTTCTCAAGAAGTTACACCACTTCTGATGTCAGTCTGTGATGAATATCAACGTGAATTTCAATCTTATTTGACTAGGAGGTTACATGGTTCGCCATTGGCTACAGCGGGTACTTGATAAATGTTACTTATTGCTCATGAAACTCCTCACTACCGCATATCCACAACTCATTATGGGCTCGAATCCAGCACTGTGACTACGTTCCCATACCTGTTAAGCTTAACCACCGAGAATCGCACAAAACTGAGAATCAAGGGTTAAATCCGGGACGGGTTGAATAATTCTGTCAACATCTCTGAAAAAGTAATCATCAACAGTAGACTGAGTTAACACTTCGATCAAATTTTGTTGCAAAGTTGTTGTTTTATACATCATTAAAATGATTGACACCTGTTTAAATTATTAGCACAATGAGATGATGAAAGGTAAAGTTCATGGGGAGCAACCATAACTGAACATTCGTACTACTTCATTCACACCACAAAGCGATGAAAAGTAACTGCCAAGTACGCTGTAAATAAAGATTCAAACTACCTTGGGAAATATATTTCGTTCAACAAACCTATTTCCTAGCTTTAAAATGTAAACCTTAGACATATGTGTCTGTGTGTTATTATTACATTATATGATTCGTCAAAGGGATTGAGTGTTTCAAATGTTTGTGTGTGTGTGTGTGTGTGTGTTCTTGTCTTGTCACCGTCCTGCATAATTTACTCATACTCTTGAACATATCCAAGTTACAAGGAAACAGCTGTAAATAAAAATGCCATTCAGATTTAAAGTTGTATCTTAGTTTTTCTAAACTGTTTTCTTTCATTAAGAATTGGTTTTCATGTTGAAAATTATGTATACTTTTCAGGCGAATGGATTTTTAAATTCAAATGGTATTTCAGGGTATATACCGTTGGCGTATAGAGAAGCGCTTATTCAACTGCTCCAGTCATTTCAATCTGGTTTAGTAAATTTAAGTAATGTTGGAGTCTATGAGTATCACAGGCCTAAATGGACATTTCATGCTAAAGGTTTGTGGATTGATGGGGTCGATGGTGAGGATGACAGTACAAACATTCGTCCGTACAGTTTATCACTTGTTGGTTCATCAAACTATAGTTATCGTTCATTGAATCGAGATGTTGAAAGTCAATTATTTGTATGTACATTCAATAAACAGTTCAGTCAACATCTCCAGGAGGAAAGAAATCATATTTTCTCTTCTATGTATTGTTATCCTGTAACTTTGAGTCAGTTAACTCATCAGACCGATTATCGTTTACCATGGTATACTAGATTTATGCTTCCAGTATTTCGACGTTATATGTAGGAGAAATTTATTTGATGTTTTATTTATCTCTTCCTTTTTATTGTATTTAAAATCATCATTACCTTTGAAATAGTGTAACCTCTTTCTACAACACTTTTGATTTCTAGAGGTTGGAAATAGCAATTGATTTCCAAACTAGGCGTAATTAATGCATTAATTTAGTTCGAAGGTTGATCCGTTACAAGATTTGTTACAGTTTGGGTGAAAAGACAATATTAATTTTTCACAATAACAATAATTAACCTCGCCTGGTTAACTAGTCCACTAGTTACTACCTGGTCCTAAGCCCGGGTAAAGAGGGAAGGTTGGGCATAGCGCTAACAACCCTACCCCGGAAAACAAATCCAAACGCTAAACAAACTTCAAAGCACAAAAAAATAAAACAATTCCTAACTGGAATCGGAGAGGCGAAATGACGCCAGTTGGTGAAAGCCTTCGGGAAGCCAATTGGCCGGTATGTCTTCTCTCGATGAAAGCGAAAGTAAACGTGGAGACATGGAATGTCCGCACCATGTTTGAACCCAGCAAGGCAGCCCAGATTGCAAAAGAGATGAGAAGGTATCACATTGAAGTGCTTGGAATTTGCGAAAGCATATGGAATGGGAGTGGACTCTCCAAACTGTCAACTGGAGAATCAATAATCTACTCCGATATTGTCACCCAGACGACAGTTTTTCCACGAGCACACTGAGTTTTGGAGTGGCTATCATGATATCCCCAAGAACATCGAAGGCTCTCATGCAGTGGGAACCAATCTCCTCCTTTAGGATCATGACAGCAAGATTCAACTCAAAAGGAAGGAAGGTCACAATCATACAATGTTATATTTTTCCCCTACAAATAATGCAGATGAAGAGAAAAAGGAGGAATTCTACAGACAACTTCAATCAACACTGGACAAGACGCCATTTTTGTTGGTGATATCAAAATCCTTTTTAATGGGTGACATGAATGCCAAACTGGGAGGTGACAACACAGGAAGAGAACTAACCATGGGTCGAGAAGCGCTAGGTGAGGTGATGAACGAGAATGGAGAATTGTTTGCAGAACTCTGTGCATTCAACGATTTGGTGATTGGAGACACTGTGTTCAAGCACAAGGATATTGACAATTTAGCCACATGGATTTCACCAGTTTTTTTGACACACTATTTTTAAAATCAGATCGACTTCATCTCAATGTGAAGAAAGTGGAGACGCAGTCTACTTGACACAAGGGCAAGAAGAGGAGCAGATGTAGGTTCACACCACTCACTGTCTAGTGCAAGGAACCCACCTTCCAAATCAAGTTAAAAGCCTTCAAGGAAGCTGGTGATAGACCACAGTTCAAGTACAACACTCGGAAATTGAAGGATGAAACTACAAAGGAAATCTTCACGTCAGCCATGAAGACAAAATGGGAGATATCGAGGAACATCCCTGAAGAAACCTGTATGGATGAGCACTGGAACTCTTTGAAAGCTATGTGGAAAGAAACCTGCATAACCGTATTAGTAGGGAAGAGGAAAGAAGATAAGGAATGGATCTCGATGGACACATGGAGGCTGATAGAGGAGAGGAGGATGGTGATGATGAAGCAGAAGATAAACCAGTGCAGTGTAAGGTTGCACAACAGAAAGAGGAACTGAATATAACCTATAAAACACTTGACAAATAAGTGAAGAAGAGTGCGTGGAAAGACAAAAGACACTGTCACAACACATTTGCAAGTGAACCAGAACAGGCTGGAGGTAGGAGAGACACAGACCTGACAACATTGTATCAAATAACCAGGTTGCTATCTGGGAGGGAAGAGATCAACACAGATGGAACCAATAGAAGATAATGAAGGAAATCTAATCACCGAAGAAGGGAAATAAAGGAAACAATGGGCTGACCACTTCAAAAAGCTCTTGAATCGACCACCACCACCTGCACTTCGTCCACAAATTCCACCTACAGCCCAGTCACAGAACCACAAGTGAACACAAATCCTCCAACAAAAGTAGTAGTCCTGAACTCCATAAAGCTACTGAAATGTGGGAAAGCAGCAGGACCAGATGGAATCCTGTCAGAAGCACTGAGAACAGATGCAGAGGCATCAGTGGACATGCTCACACCACTACTGCAGAAGGTGTGGAAGGAAGGGAAGGTACCTGGCTAGTGATTGGGAGAAGGACTGCCTTGCCAAACTCCCGAAGAAGGGCGACCTCAGTGTTTGCAAGAACTGGTGCGGAATCAGTCTCCTGTCCACCCAGAGCAAGCAAAATATTAAGCCGCATCATCCCGGAGAGACTAAAGGATGCATTGGATTCAAAACTACGACCGGAACAGGCTGACTAGCTGGATTCAGGAAGTACAAATCATGTGCTGATCAAATTGCAACTGTTCACATCATCATAGAACAGAGTATAGAATGGCAGTCAACTCAACTCTACCTCAACTTCATCGACTTTGAGAAGGCCTTTGACAGCGTTGACCGAGAAGTAATTTGGAAACTGCTTCATTACTACGGAGTACCGCAAACCTTTATCAGCCTCATTCAACAACTATATGAAGACGCCACATGCCAAGTAATTCACAATGGGAAGCTCAGTGATGCGTTTGAAGTGAAGTGAAGACAGGAGTGAAGCAAGGCTGTCTACTATCCCCCATGATATTCCTGATTGTGGTGGACTGGATCATGCAGCAAACAGTGGGGAGCTGGGAGAAGAGGGGGATACGCTGGACCGGAGAAGAGAACCTAGAAGATCTGGACTTCGCCAATGACTTGTGTCTAATGTCGCACAAAGTCGAATATCTATAGGCGAAAACTAATAAGTTGACAGAAGAGGCAGGGAAGCGAAGACGGGACTTCAGGTGAATCTAGAGAAGACAGAGGTGATGAAGATACCCAACCAATAACAACAACAACTCCAATCACCATGAAGGGAAGAAGCTTAATGGAAGTAGCCTCTTTCACCTATCTAGGAAGCACTGTTTCAACTACAGGCGGGACAGACGAGGATGTCAAAGTCAGAATCGGAAAATCAAGACAGGCTTTCATTGGCCTGAAACCAGTGTGGAGATGTGTACTCAGCACTCTGGCTCTTTACTGAAGATCAGATGGCCAGAATAGTAAGAATCAGCAACAAGGAAATCTGGGAACGAACCAACCAAGAACCTATGTCTCAACAAATATGCAGAAGGAAGTGGCGATGGATTGGGCATACACTGAGAAGGCCGACTGGGACATCACGCGCCAGGCTAGGCCCTCTAGTGGAACCCGGATGGGAAGCGACGAGTTTTGCGTCCGAGGTGAGGGTGGCATGGAGGAGATCGTGCGAGGAGGAAATGAGAGCTTCTGGGCAGCTGTGGAGCCAGGTTCAAAAGATTTCAGAGAACAGAGTTCACTGGAGACGTGCTACTGAAGCCCTATGTTCCATTAGGAACCCAAGGGACAAATAATAATAATAAACATGGCTCAGGTCAACAGTCAAAGATTTCATGCACTGATGCCATGTTTTAGTTTGAGTGTCTCGCGCCTTCAACCAGACTGAACCTACTTCAGTCAATATTTCGCGATAAAGCAAATGGTGGCTAGGCACGCATAAAATATGTCGCAGTTATCTCAGACGATGTAAGTACACAACCGCTTCATTTTGTTGAGGAGTATTCATCAAGCTTCCGTTCATCTAGATATAGAATAATTGCAAATAAATCATTCCTCGGAAAATCGGTGAGATCCAGCCACCGAACTACAGTTAAGATAACCTAAATGTGTAGATCGATTGTAATATGCGTTATAGAAATGATGCATCCTACCACCATCTTACACAGCTGAAAGATTAGTGTTGGATCCATGTTCCTAGAGGTGTCACCAGCGAAGTAAAATGCACCCAATGCCTAGGCGTGATCTATGATGACTAACAATGATAGACAGCTTATTTCTGATAGATGTGCGATCATCTATAGTGAATCACTACCAATATTACAGGTTGAAATGGTAAAATGGATTTTACATTCGGCCGTGGGTTTATCGACCAGATATTCACATTCTGCAGGTTCTGGCACACCGGCAGTAACTGTATTACTCGACGTGAAGGCAGCATTCGACTTCGTCGATCTTTGAGGTCTTGTTGCAGTGTCTTTTAATGAGGTACCGAGTTAGTAAACAACTCTATTTAAGGCTCCTTAGTCGAACACTCTTGGGCGTCTTAGAGTCTATGATGAGTCGTCGAGGGAACTGCGTATATCGAGTGGTCAGTTATGCTCACTCCCTTCGTATTAAGCTCTATCATAGACGTACTTATGGAGGTCTGCTATCGTTGTCTACCTTCACAGGGATTGATCTTATCACGAAAGAATCTTTGGCAGACCTAAAATACTCAGACGACAGTCCTGTTAGGTGATAACATTGACAAGATGCAGAGTCCTGTGGACGCTGAGTGTCGATCTGAGAATGTTTAGGATGCGTTTATCACTAGTAATAGTAATCACTTTATCACCAAGCAATGTTTTGGTTCAATTTGAAATTCTCGGCATTATACATACACCTGAGGCTAAAGTTAACAGTCTGACTTTTAGAAGGGTTCAGCTTGAGGCCATTTAAGAGAGACCATTGGTCAATTTCAGACAAGAAACCATTAATTCAGGGCAATCTGAGTGAGAGTTAACAGGCATAGAAACCGTCAGGTCATCGCCTTACTTAATAAAATTAGTTTAAATAAAATGAGGTAAATGATGCAAAAAGAACGAAAACAGAAATGTAGGAAGTAATGCAGTTTGAGGCACACAGGCTTCAGTCAGCAATAAAGTGAGGTACCTACCTCTATAGACAATATACTGTTTCCTTCCGGAAAAGTAAGAATACAGCCACTTTGTGACCCATCACTTAGTAGCCAATATGGCAAGCTGATTTGACAAGAGTCGTCTTCTGGAAAATGGTCAAAGAATGATGAGTAATCCAAGAAGGCACAAGAAACATACTTGACACCTTTGTCTAGACTAGAAACAAAATTATGACAAGACAGTGGCAGCATC